TTGTGTATAACGTTTTCTGTCAAAATGGCAATTTTTTGTTTCATTTTTGTTCAAAAACTAAACAATTTGAATGGAAAATGTTTGAAAAAATATTTTTTAAAATGTTATAGTTTTTTGCATGTTCCTCATAAAATTAGGGCTTTTAGAAACAATTTTAGAAATATTTGTGTATAAAGTATTCTGTCAAAATGTGAATTTTTTGTGTCATTTTTGTTCAAAAACTAAACAATTTGAATGGAAAATGTTTGAAAAAATATTTTTTAAAATGTTATAGTTTTTTGCATGTTCCTCATAAAATTAGGGCTTTTAGAAACAATTTTAGAAATATTTGTGTATAAAGTATTCTGTCAAAATGTGAATTTTTTGTGTCATTTTTGTTCAAAAACTAAACAATTTGAATGGAAAATGTTTGAAAAAATATTTTTTAAAATGTTATAGTTTTTTGCATGTTCCTCATAAAATTAGGGCTTTTAGAAACAATTTTAGAAATATTTGTGTATAAAGTATTCTGTCAAAATGTGAATTTTTTGTGTCATTTACATTTTGAGAGAAAATTTTATAGAAAACAATTTCTAAAAATGTTCTCTTAATGCCCTAATTTTATGAGAAACATGCAGAAAAGATACATTTTTAAAAAATAATTTTCCAAAAATTTTTCATCAAAATCTTAGTTTTTGAACAAAAATGACACGAAAAGTTCACATTTTGACAGAAAACTTTATACATAAAAATTTTAAAAAATGTTCCCTAAATGTTCTAATTTTATGAGAAACATGCAGGAAAAGATACATTTTAAAAAAATAATTTTCCAAAAATCTTTCATCAAAATGTTTTAGTTTTTGAACAAAAATGACACAAAAAAATCACATTTTGACAGAGAACTTTATAGCAAAACATTTCTAAAAATGTTCTCTAAATGCCCTAATTTTATGAAAAACATGCAGGAAAAGATACATTAAAAAAAAATTATTTTCCAAAAATGTTTTAGTTTTTGACCGGGAATGACACAAAAAGTTCACATTTTGACAAAAACCTTTATAGAAAAAAATTTCTAAAAATGTCCTCTAAATGCCCTAATTTATAGGAAACATGCAAAAAAAGATGCAATTTAAAAAAATAATTTTACTGAATTTCTGTCAAACTTTTTTAGTTTCTGACCGGAAATGACACAAAAAGTTCAGATTTTGACAGAAAGTTTTATAGAAAAAAATTCTAAAAATGTTCTCTAAATGCCCTAATTTTATGATAAACATGCAGAAAAAGGCACATTTTTAAAAAATAATTTTCCAAAAATGTTTGTCAAAATGTTTTAGTTTTGACCAGAAATGACAGAAATATTCACATTTTGACAGAAAATATTATAGAAAAAAAATTCAAAAAATATTCTCTAAATGCCCTAAGTTTATAAGAAACATGCAGGAGAAGATACATTTTTTAAAAATAATTTTCAAAAAGATTTTGTCAAAATGTTTTAGTTTTTGACTGGAAACGTCACGACCTGGAAACAAGGTTCTCTAAATGTCTTAATTTTATGGGAAACATGCAGAAAATATTTTTTTTCAAAGATTAATTTTTTATAATTTCTCAAAAAAGTTTTTTTCTAAATGTTCAAAAAAAATTCAAAAGATTTTTTAAAGATTTTTTTTCTAAGTGTTCTAAAAAGAATTTTTATTATTTCTGAAAATATTTCAATTTTTTAATAATTTTTTTTCAAAACGTTATATTTTGAAGAAAGACATGCAGAAAAGATACAATTTTGAAGATTTTTTAAGATTTTCATAAAACATTTTGTATATGACCAAAGTGTTCTAAAAAATGTTTTTCTAAAAATGTGTCAAAAAGTTTTTTTCAAAATGTTTTAAAAACGCTATATTTTGTTGACAAACATGCAGCAAAGATACAATTTTGATTTTTTTTAAAGGACTTTCCTTAACATTATTTTACTGACCAATCTGTCTGACCAATGTTTTTTCAAATAGTTGTATTTTGCTGAAAAACATGCAGAACAGATACAATTAAAAAAATGTTCAAAGATTTTATCAAAATATTTCAACATCTGACTAAAAAATTGTTTTTAAAAAATAATTTTCTAAACATTTTTCAAAAAAAATGTTTTTTCTAAAATAAAATTTCAAAACGCTCTAATTTGATGACAAACATGCACAAAAGAAAATTTTGAAAAACAATTATCAGCATAATTTTCCATCACCTGACCAAAAACTAAGGTTTTTTCGAAATATTACAAAAAGGTTTCTAAACATTTTTCAAAATGCTTATTTGAAGGGAAACATGCAGAAAAGATAATTTTTTTCCAAAAATGTAAACTGTAAATGCAAACTTGAGATTTTGGCTAGAAAATTCAAAAAAGAATAAATAAAAAAAAATGTTATTTATTAAAATGCAAAATTTTCATCATTTCATCATTTTTCAACATCTGACCAGAAATGACATGAGCCATTGTCCAGATTTTTTTTACACTCTGATTTAATCTGAATTAATTAACAGCAAACACAGTTAAGTGATGAAAAAAGGATGAAATATAGCATTACACTTTTATAAATTAAAGGGATTACCAGGAAACGCATTGTTAAAGAATTTGAATAAAGAGATTTTTAACATTTCAAATGTAATAAACGTTCATTATTTCGAAGTACAGTGGAGCCTTGGTTTTCTGAACTGAAACTAAAACCATTTTTTCCCATAGAATTATGTTCTCCGATACTGCCACCGGCCAACTGCTTTTCGTTGATCCAAATCAGTAACAACTTTACCACTTCTTATAATGTCTGAGAATCTTTGTGATCACAGTCACTCCTTTGGCAACGTTTGCTTCTTTTACTGCTTTCTTCGTCTTAATGATGGTACAAATCGACGACACATACGCCATTCTCGTGCTTTCGTATAATCTTTCTTCACTTCTATTGTTGTTCTCACTATTTTTCTTTCCCATGGTGATTTAAGAATAAAAAAAAATAGAAGAAATAGCACAACACAAGAAATACTGGCAAATTCAGACAAAAAGTTCTTAGCGTGTATATCCACGGACTGACGCCACACACTCAGTCGCTTAGTGACCACATGCTGCTTGCGCGTTATAGTCTCTTGTTCGGCCACCAAGTAATGGTTTTGTTTTGTGAACCGAAAAGGGAAGTGTTCGATAACCGAGGTTCCACTGTACTAAAGAATATTTAATGATGTGGAATTTTCTGCAGTTGTAAATAAAACTTAATAGAAATAATTCCTCATGTCTCATATTACCAAAAGATAATGAGGTCTGTTTCTCCACGCAGCACATACACAACAGACACAGCGATTAACAACAATAAAACAGAGCCCAGAACAGAAAGAGGTGAAGAAGATACTTATTTAAAAATGTCTTTGCCTGAACTAAAATTGTAGCCTTCATCGTCATACTCCAGGTCGTCCTCGTTATCCTCCAGTTGTCCGTACCGGAACTTCCTGTACACGGTTCCATCCTTGCCCATGTACACAATGTCCTCGTCATCGTCATCATCATCTTCCACCTTACTCCGTGAGCGACGTTCACCAAAATCAACCATCTGAGTCTCCTGAAGGCGCCCCCCGGAGGAACTGGCATTGCCGGTGTAAATTGAAGAGCCTCCGTGTCTACTGTTGCTGCCGCTGCTCTTCCCACCGAAGCCTCCACCAGATCCCAGCTTCTCGTAGCCACGAGGAGGCATGTCACGGGGTGCACTTTTGGACCGGGAGTGTCTGACGATGAAGACGACAGCCACCAGTCCCAGCACCAGTAAGATGCATGCGATAATGAAGAGGGTCAGGTTACCCCTCATCTCCTCTTCCTCATCATTGGTGAAGGCCAAGTTGGTGCTAAGGACACATTCTCCTACAGATAAACAGGAGACATAAACGCACTCTTAAACACCTCCTTTCCCTGCACAGGGTGCTATAATCCGAGGTAAATCTCGCATCACTTGTAGAGTTGTTAGATTAGATTAGATTAGATTGTTGATCAAACCTGGGGAAAGTGACATGCAGCAACAAAAATGATAGATGACTGAAAAGACTGTACAATAAAATGAGAGAATAAAACTAGATCTTTTAAATGTAAAAAATAGAATTCAAAACCCCTAAAGAAATTCTAGAAATTTTGAAAACGTACTCACAAAAAAATCTACTCTGATCTGCATATGAGCAATAAGTAATGTTTAGATAAAGCACAGAAGCAGAGTATATTTTGTAGTGGTTATTTATTTACTTTTTGACAGACAAAGTGGTGGAGTCTGTGTCCAAGACAGAAACGGAGAAAGAGAGAAGGTGTTTAACTGTAGAAAATGAATCCTGTATAGGATTATTTAGAGGAACAAATAATAAATGTAGTTTTCCTGCCCATGTATTAAAACAATGAGTACTCAGTGATGCGGGTACACACAATACAACAGTGGCCTGTTATGTCCAATTAAAATATTCCTGCATTTAAATGAACATTTATAACTTAGAAGAATCAGTTGTATTGAAAGCTCAGCTGTGAATCAGATCCTGACCTGACTGCAGCCTCAATCTGATTTTATATAGATTAGAATAAAAACAACAACAAAAAACATTAAATCAAATTCAAAAAAAGGAAAAACACAAGCAAATGGCAGCATCACATAAAGACATCTCCTAATACTGCTGGTGGCCAATAAACTAGGTGAATACTGAATTTTCTCTTTGTCTTCATCCATTTCCAGACTGGGTTTTTCTGAAACATTTCTTTGAGCTTAAATAAAAATGATTGATTACCTGACTGGTTTCTGCTGCATAGGTTTCTACAGACATTGGAGTCAAATTATAATTTCTCTGCTGCTGCTCTGGAGGGATCTTTCAAAGCTGACAAATGGAGTTGTGAATTGGGAGGAGTTTTTTCGGGAGCCATTCGTGTCCCATTCATTGTTTTTTTCTTTACTTGTATAAGTCTGTGGCTTCTCGTGTCCCATTCATTGTTTTTTGTTTCTTTACTTGTATAAGTCTGTGGCTTGAAAAGGTTGAAAAAGTTAAATATATGGTTTAAAAAACAAAAGGAACTGAGGAAGGCAGGAGGACATAAAACTTAAAATAAACATTTTTAGTGAATTGTTTACTCCTAGTAATTAAGAGTTAACAATTAACTAATCCTACATGTTTTAGGACAGAACCTCAGGCCACTTCCTGCTCTTCCTCTCTGATCACACCTAGAGCCCACCTCGACTCTCTGTGCAGTTACAACAGTGCTGCTGTCGTATCCCAGCCTCCTCACTGTCCCCGTGGCGACAACAGCGCAGACAGCGCCCTCCAGCTTCTAAAATGGCCTGGGCAGGACACATGGTACAGTTGGTGCGACCAGGACCCCGACACTCCAGACAGGAGCTGTGGCAGTCTTCACAGCTGTGGCTTGAACCCTGGTGGGCAACAGAGACAGACAGACAAGGTCAACAGGGTCAACTTTGAATGTCATTGACTGTAGAGGTTTTAATGTTGCTACCTTCACAACGGGGTACTGTCCGATGTCACACCTGGACTCACAGGTTCCCTCAGACAGCAGGTATCCAGTGTAGCAGGTGGAACATGAACGAGACGTTTTTCCTGAAAAAGTTCAAAAGTAAGAAAATTAACTTTACAGAAAAAAATAATTGTACCTGCTTTAAAACTATTCTTTTTGAACTTTTTTATTCAATTTTGTATTGAAAGAAAACTTTGTCAGATCTTTGACCTCAATAATGGACAAGCTGAAATTATTGTATTTTAAGACTTTTTGTAAAAATGTGTCCTCTTTATTTTTAATGTCCTTGTAAACTACTGTAGTTTCCAAACCTTTTGTGCTGGACCTTTAGAAAAGCCCATTTGGTTCAAAACTTCACTGACATTTTTAATTTTCTGGCATTTTCAGGGCAAACTTATCCGTGGGTGCAAAATGTTGATTTGCATTAATATAACTTACATATATATAACATATATATAGAAACACATATAACTTATTCTGATTGTTCTTGTGTTACAGGACTGGTTGTCTCGTGTCTGGATTGTCAACACTGTCTAATCAAACCTGTACTGTTTGAGAAATTCTTCCTACTGTTGTGTACATTCTCCAGACTTTCCACTGTTTCCTGCCTGAGGCCTGACATCTGCATATGTTTAACTCTGTGACTGCTGCTGCTCAGAGGCTTCGTACCTGAGCATGTCCTGCAGCTGGCGTGGCAGGGCTCACAGGTCCTGTGGGCCACGTCGTGGTAGAATCCCTCCGGACACGTAGGAAGGCATCGGCTTTCCTTCCGCATGTAGATGAGTCCTGGAGTGCAGCTCAGGCAGCTGTCTTCCCTGCCCCCGGTGCACTCCCCACAACTGGGGTCACACTTTTCACACATCCCAGAGCCTGTGTTTCCATAGTGACTGCAGCCATAGATGGTGAGAGAGTTATGATAGATTACATTCAATTAAATGAAATGAGATTAGAGGTCTGTTTGTTCTCAAAGGAAATTCCTCTCCACTGCCACCAGGTCACTTCTGCACAATAACACGACATGCTGTGGACCTGGATACTGCAGTGGTAATATTCCACCTCAAACTATGTCAGAGGAAACTCACCCTCAGCTCCTACCTGACAACTGTGGGTCCATCCTCTCTTTTGTTATTCTCTGCACTTCACGGCAGGTGTTACGATATGAGGGAGGCATGTCAAAGGAATAAATAGCCTTTGTGTCCCTTTATGTTTTCTCTGGGGTATTTAACGGCACATCAATTTAACGGCACGTTAATTTAACTATCCCAATCATTGCATCCCAAATAAAATCAAGTCTAATTAGCATTTTACAGGCCACACGAAGGGCTATTTAAATCTCCGGCTAAATTAGCTTGTGTCTTCAAACTGCCATCAGTCCAGATAGGAGAGGAAAAACAGTGGTTTTGTGACCACAGGGACACTATGAAACTTTGTTGATCTTTTATTAATGATGGTGCCCAGCTGCTGCGTTCAGGTGACGGACGAGCAGCGCTGCTGGATAGTCAGCGGGTTAAACTACCTGTGCTGGCAGATCTCCACGCACTCTTTGCCCTCTCGAAATAGGTGGGCTTTACAAGTGAGACACTCGTGGCGGTTCCCTCCCACACAGCTGTCGCAGGACGGGTGGCAAGGCTCGCATTTCTGTGCCAGCACATCCTCGTAGAAGCCTGACGTGCACTCATCCACACATGTGCCATCTGCAGCAACAACACCAAAAGTCGTGTAACTTTGCTAACAAGCCACAGATACAGAGAAGTTTTCCAGAGCACGGTACAGGACTCACTGACAAAACACCAAACTACACTCACTGAGTAGAAAATGTCCCTGGTTGCAGCTCAGACAGTGGGCTTTTCCAGGTCCTGAACACCTGTGGCAGTGGTTATGGCATTGGTGGCATTCCCCATCCTGGTCTGCGTACTGGTGGGATAGACATTTGTCAGCCGATGGCACACAGCGGCTGTGTCCATCCAGAGTTTGACCGTCTCTGCAGCTGGTGCAGGAGAAAGTGTGAGGTCCACGGCAGGACAGACAAGATGTATCACAGTCTGGAATGACAGAGTTGAGGATAGAATATTAACTGGAGTATTATTAATTTTCAATTAAATAGATACTTCAGTGCAGTGGCAGAAAACTAATAACATTTCAATCAAATTATAACTCATTTTTTATGTTTTTGGGAGGTCTCAGCAACAAGTCTTCTGAAGTATCTCAACTTATTTTTGTTCAACAAATTAGTCCAGCTCTTCTGGATTTGATTGTCTCGCGCAATCAGTCCCATTTTTTACTGTGGAACTTAATGTAATTACCATATTAGAAGACTAAAAGACAATTAAACAGTAATAATCACCTGCTGTCTTCTTTTTTTTGTTGAGTTGCTTCACCTTATTAGCTCCTTTAATAACACTGGGCATGGCGTACAACATTTTTCTTGGGACACACTGTGTGTTTTTTGTTTTCTAGTGTGTGTCTTGGCTGAGGGAGTGTCTCTTGGCAGTGTGGTTTTGTGGTTTTGAGTTTGACAGCTGCCTCTCCAATGATTGAGAAGCTTTTCTATTAAAGTCAGAGCCACAAACACAGGCAGGCTCAGCAACAATTATCAAAACTGTTGCATAAAAGCAGCGCGGTCATAAAATGCAGATGAGAGTGAGTTTTTATAAAAAGAAAAAAAAAATTCTGATATTTTTCACCAACATCGATAATTAGAATTTCCGTCCTCACTCACTTGAACAGTTTCTTTGTTGATCTACACATTAGCTGCAGTGTGAGTTTCCGTCTCGTCCTAATAGATGTCTGAAGGTTTCTGTTGTCAGGAGCTCCCTATTCCCCTATTCCCACCATGGTTGAAAGCCTCAGTTCCAGCTGAAGGATAATAGCCTTGAGGGATGAAGCTGACACCAATATGCTCCACTGTGGCTGTGATGATATTTCTGTCATGTGCTCTATTTCTGTGCCAAACATACGGTAGCAGCTGGAGTTCAACGCTGCTCACGTTAGATCAAACATCCCCCTCATTATTTTGGGAGACTAAACACACACTGTTTTAAAGATTACCTGCTCCTCACTCAGAACAACACCGGAGGAGCAGCCTATAGGTGGCACATTCCTGCAGGTAACTTCCTGATGCCACAGATTTGTTGACAATCAGCTTCAACCAGTTCACTGTGCTGTTAATTAATTAGAGGAAATCAATGTACATGTATTTGTACATGTAGGTAATACTCCACCTTCCTCCGTCAGAACTATTAGAACCATCTAAGGCTTCAGACAGACCTACTGTGACTTAAAAACCACAGAAGTACAACAGAAACCAAATCAGTTTGTTATATTAAATGTAATTGATCAGGAGAGCTTGATCTTCCTTCAAATGTTTCAGATTTACACTTTGAAGTATACAGTACACAACAACCTTGCTGTTTAAAAACTGTTTTTTTAGGTCTGTTTTCTAACGCTCTGATTTTCAAACCTGTTACTAGTTGACTTCATCATTCAGAAAACTTGCAGAATGTTGTTTCACTTCTTTTTGTACTTCTTTCAATTGATATTTAGAACTAAATGCTCTGACATTTCTTCAATTTGTTAATATTAAATATAATACAGTCAGTTAGTGAATAGTCTAAAACAAACTTTTTGTTCTTCTAGATTTTAATGTAGAGGTTAAGAGTTTTATTTTTTATATTTAAATATATTCAAAACATGTAACAACCTTAAACTTCGGTTAATTATGTTTTTTTTTTAATTGAGTTTTTTTTTTGACCAATCTTGTAAATCCAGTGCAGACTGGCTGCAGTAGCAGAAAATGTTTCCAAGTTTTCTCTTGTACCTTGGCATTCTCCTGTCACTGACTCCCTGTAGGTGTAGGGGGGGCAGGGCATCAGACATGCTCCGTTGTGCAGGGTGGAGTCCGGGTCGGTGCAGGCGTCACATTCGTTGGCGTTTGGTCCGTCACAGAAGGCGCAGTCAGGGTGGCAGGGCAGACACTCTCCTCGCTCTGGGTCCTCGAAGAAGCCCCCAGGACAGCCCACCACACACACGCCGTCATGGAGGAAGTGAAACTCCTCACACTCTGCATCAAGTACAATTCAAATTACTGTATGATTCAAAATTAAAAACAAATATTATAACGCTATTTTTTTTTGTGTCACAAATGAATATAATCCCTTGACTTTTTATTAACTAAAACCTGTTTTAAGTCCTGGGGGGTTATCATAAGATTAGACACATGAATAATGTGCAAATATTTCATATCAATATGCATTAATCAATTATCTTATGAAGATTAATCTCATTAAAATTTTAATGCATATCAAACTGTGTGGAAAATGACACTTGAATGACCAGTAACAGGGTAGAAAATGAAAGATGCAAATCTAGAAGTGTGCAAAAACCAGAACAGAAAATAATCAATTATTCATGGATTTTTCCACCTGTAACTCCAAAATGTCAATTCTTTACTTTCTAATCAAAGTGAGTCACATATTGCAGGACAAATACTCGAGGAAATCCACGGAATATTTTCAATTGTCCTCAGGGATTTTTTTTAATCCCTTGCTTTTCAGTAATGACTCTATAGCAAAAAGGTAAAAGTTAAATAAAGTAAGAAATACATTTTTTTTCTTAAATAAAAAGTAAAATCCTAGTTTCCAAAATGTATTTTTAAATAAAAAGTAAAATCCTAGTTTCCTTTGTGTTTCAGCACCTGAACACTGGCCGAAGGGGTCACACTCCTGACAGGCCGCAGCGCAGCGCCTGCACTCTCCGTCCTGGACAGTGTGGGCTGCAGGACACTCGTCCACACACTGGTGCTTGTGTAGGAAAAAAGGTTCCTCGCAGCTGAGACAGTGAGTGGCGTTTCTCCAACAGGATGCACAGCCGGCTGCACAGTTACGACACACGGAGCCTGCAGGATACCCTCTGTCCATCACAGTCCAACAGCAATCAGGAGGAAAAACAGACATAAACAGTGCACAGGATTTATAAACGTATTTACGCTACAGTTAACAGTGGTGAGTAAAAATATCAATTTTTATCAATGCATGTTTCTTTTGCCCTTTTGGACTAAGTGTGTATTTCTACTTGATACTGAATGGATGTCGAAGCATTCAGATCAATTTTGAGTAGAATTGATATCGAATTGAATCGTGATCTAAAGAAGCAAATTAAATCGAACTGTGAGATTATTAACAATACCCAACGCTAACAGTTAATGTAAATTAAACCGGCAAATTTACCTAAAACAGTATGATTTAAACTAACCTTCCTGAACAGAGCCTTTCCTTTAAGGGCTGTTTCAGTGCATCAATTTGATGAATTTGACAAAGTACTAATGAGACTTTTGATTTATTCATAAATCTGATGCATACAAACCAAACTGGACCAAAATATTGTTTACAACATGGAAACCAAATGAGCAGGCAGACCTGGGTGTATCTGCTGCAGACTGGGTAAACAAGTGGACTAACATTCTGCTGTGCCCTGCACTCATCACTGCTCCACACCATGGCAACTACTCATTCATCCACACAGACAATCCTGTGGCACTGCAGCGTTGGTAAAGAGTTCATCCTGGTGCTAATGGTCTTAGTCTTATTCAGACACTTTCTCTATCTTGCGTTACCTGCAGATATATTCAAAAATATATTCAAAGTAGTATAAATGATTTTATTTCAAAACATCACACATTCTTTCTATGCTTTATTATATATATCACTGTATTCTTAAATCACTGTATCCTTTCCACTAATCTTATGTTTTGGTAAAACACTTTTTGACCTTTTGAACTTCCCTGGATCAGTGACATGTCTCAACATGTTTTTTTGTAACACATTTCGACAAATGTTCCCCTTTCTTTTAGCCAAAATACGGAACTATATTTTTATAGCCTGCTATGATACACTCGGTTTATGACCTTTGGATTATGACCTTTGGATACTGAGCTCAACCTTTCTTGACAAGCTTCAAGGACCTCTCCAGCGAGGACAAGATATGAGTTCATTCTCTGGGATTTCGTATTTTTAATGATGAAATATATTAAAAAAAACACAGACACAGAAGATGTCTCCTGGTGTTGGACTTTAGACTCAGGAGGTCTTTGTTTTACACATCTATCCTTGGCTTCATATTTAAATTCTAATTATAGTAATATAATGAGATCATAAATAAAATTATGGATAACATTCTCTAATTATAGTAATGAGATCATAAATAAAATTATGAATAACATTCTAGCAATACGAGTATCAAGGCCATATTGAAGAAAAGAAAAATCTAAAATTAAGAGAAAAAGACGTAATTTTATGAGAAAAAAGACCTTACCTTACAAGAAGAGGTCTCAGGTTTATGAGAATAGAGTTGTTTAAATAAAGTTTACAAGAGCAAATTCAAAGGTTTGTGAGAATAAAATCAAGTTTATGAAATTATAGTTATAGTAATTTAAATGTGTCAGAATGAGAATCCCTTCACATTTAGACTAATATCACGACATTATGTCACAACATCAGAACTTAAGTCTTACAAATTTATGACTTAGTTCTCACAAACTTAATGCTTTTTTTCTGGTCATTTGTTCATGACTGCACTCATGTCTCACCAGTGAAGTTTTTTTTAAATTTACCACATCACATGACAAAAACTAATTTGATCTCAGTGGGGTTTGGATGACACCACCAAATTTGAAGATGATTAAATTTTCACCACTCCCGAGGTGCACGCCACATTTGGTGCCTTCGGGAGTCTATGGAACATTCCGGCCCCATTGAAATGAAGTTCATCCAGAGGTAATGAAACGAAGGGGAAAAAATAGACTTGGAAACCCACTGGAGTCCTTCTCACTGCTTCCCCATAACAATACAAATTGGTGGAATTTAACACGTTATGAATTGAATTAAAGGCATCAGAAACTCTTCTGACGTAAAGCAGCTCAACTTCACATCACTGCACTAACATGGATGGACACAGCCTGGAAACATGGAGCTGCAAATCCACTACATTAGTAAATCATAAAAAAGATCTGCAGTGATGTCACTAACATATTATATCATTAATATCATTTAAATACCCTCATGTTGACCCACTGGGTCACCTAGACCCAAGGTGCATTTGTGTATGTGTGTGTGAGTGTGTGCATGGTCCTGTACTTCACAGCTTGTGCCAAGTTTTCCTCATATTCATTCAGTCATATTCTGGGAAAAGAAAAAAAAGGAAAGCTGGGTGTGGACAAAATGCGAAGGACAATAGCAAAGTTAAATGTTGTTGTTACATGTTTCATGTTCATTTTCATGTCAAACCTGTGAAGCTTTTGTGTTAACTACTGTAAACACATCAAAATGAACGCCTAAGAGAGGAAAGACTGCTGACCTGACACACTGTTGGACACACTGTCCGTCCTGGAGGAATAATGGAGTTCTCCGAGAGCTCTGACAGCGGGTGCATCGCTGGTCGTCCACACACTGCAAACAGCCCGGAGAGCAGACCTCACACTCACCGCTCATCTGATTGGCAAAGAAATTCACCGGACACTTGGAAACACATGTTTGCTGTGTGGTCAGAAACTGTCCTGTGAGAGAGGAGGACAAGAGTAAAGAGCTGCTGCGGGAGACACTGGACGAGGAGAGAATATCACACAGGTGACGGTCGGACCTTTTGCACACGTTGTACACTGGTTTCTCTCATCTCCAGAGCAGGACTCGCAGGAGGGATGGCAGTCCACACACTCCCCATCATCTGACCAGACAACAGTGTTACAGGACACGTGTTATGATAGTTTGATGTAATTTAATGTGGATCCTTGATGTCAAAATAAAATATTAGAAAAATAAAAAAACACTGACTGGTCAACTCCTAGAACATAAGTATATTCTCTCTTCATGTAAGTGAAAAAAGGTCAAGTACGTTTCTCTGCCCCACAGTGCCACACACGTCTGTGTTGTTATTATATAAGAGAGAGAAAAAAAAAGGAAAGATAAAGTACTCTTTAAAATTCACCCTTTACCCCACAAAGGCTGAAAAAAAGAACTTGTTCCTTTACTCAAATGCCAAAAAAATATACTTTCAAAACCTTTTAAATAAAAACAACTCCTTCGAATAAAGGTATGGCTTTTTGTCTTAACTGGTTTCCTGAAATAACGTTTTTATGATTAAGTGATACTTTTATTTCTCATCATATATTAGGAAAAAGAGACCAAGTCCTGTCAGTGAGGCTTGATTCTTATTCTGGTCTGGGTAAAAAAACTGAAAGATACTTGAATAATAATATAATATAATATAATATAATATAATATAATATAATATAATATAATATAATATAATATAATATAATATAATATAATGTTTCATAATACAAAAATGTTTCAGGAGCTCTTTTAATTTTACTCCTTCATTTACAACTTTCAGTTTAACCTACAGTATGTTCTTTTCTCCAGGTTATTCCACTTCCTATAATTAAGGTGTCTCAGCCTCCACTAATTACCATGTGTTGTTTCAAGGTCTGTCCCACTTACTCTTGTGAGAAGCTAAATGTTCTGCGTAGGGTGAATTATTTCAAGGTTTGTATCTGACTGTACTTCTGTCTGTTTGAATACTGAGGTGGGGGGGCAGGAGAGGGGGGGGGGGTCAGGGAAGGAGGCCCACAGACCAATTACCCTCCACAATTTACTTCCTGCCCTTGTGAAAGTGTTCAAATCCCTGATTCATTAAGGGCAGGCAGTTGATTAGTGCAAATGTAAGTATTAATCTCACCGGTGCGAAAGGTCTTAAAGGGACAGACCTTGTTTTCCGGCACACACATTCCATTTTCCAGTACCATCTTGTCTTCACAGGACAGACAGTCGCTGGCCTCGAAGCCATTACATGTCTCACAGTCTGAGTGACACTCCTCGCAGTCGTTGGTGTCTTCGTCACCATAGTAACCATCCGGACACTCGGAAACACAAGCCCCCTCTGGAAACAAAAGGAGACACTTCTAACACACGTCCTAACCCATTTAGCGGAGCTTTTCCACAACTTACTGCAGTGATTTCACACATCACAGTCTATTTACAGGCCACGGGGCGTTCAAATGCAATTGTAGAACTTCTTATAAAGCCTTTGGTGGCTCCTGGCATTGTTCTGTAAATTAACTTGTTGTACTGCAGTTTTTACAAAAAACATTTTTTTCTCCAATATTGTTACTTTACAGCTCTAGTTATGGCTAAAATAGTAAAGGTCAGCTGAATATGACCTACGACATATCCTGACATATCCTAAATAAAATAAAATAAAAAATATATAATCAAATCCATACTAAAAAACAAAAAATCCTGATAAAATACATTTTACAAATTACTAAGTTAAAAAAGTAAGTTACTAAGTAAATACATACTAAGAAAAATAGAACAAATACATAGAAAACCTATCACGCAAATGCAGACAAACAAATTAAGTTTTTATCTCAATCACAGGGCAACTGTGAATTAATCATCCAGAAAACTCAAAATTCAATAAATATGACTGTATTTTAACTGTGAATTAATCATCTAGAAAACTCAAAATTCAATAAATATGACCAAAATAAATCAGTATATCTGATACAAGATCTATGTATATCTATATAAAAACACCTGTATTTACCTGTGACTAATCCAAACCATTGACTTAATACATTTTAAAAAATATCAAGAAGAATATGTAAATTTCATAAAGTTACAAGGTATCACTGTGTCTAAAAGACATAGACAGTAGTTTATAGACAAAAACAAGTGTGATCCTTTTTTTTTTTTAATTTTTCAACGAAGAAACTTGTGTCCATGGCCCAGTGGAGCTGGTTATTACCTGATAAGAAGAGGTCGGTCTCACACCAGTAGCACTCATGTTGGTCACAGCTCACACAGTTGTCATCACACGGCACACAGGTCATCTCCTCCTCCACGCTGTAGGTCTTAGCTGGACAGTTCCTGTAGCAGCTTTCCTGAAAGCTGGTTAAAAAAAAAAAACGCACTTGATACCAGTGATTGAACTTCACTCTGTGTCTTACATGGACACACAAATGCTTCAGATCTCCACAGCAGAAAAAGGGCTTCTTTTTTAGTTCTGCAGTGCACTGAGAGACAGCGCGAGTGCAGAGAAGTCAGATCACACATGGCAACAGCGAGGCACACAGTCTTACTTGTAAAAGCCCTCAGTGCAGGACAGACAATGCTTGGGGTTATCTGTTGGAAGCAGACAAAGAAACTCAGCTCTTCTTTTGAAGAGGAACTACCAGGAAAGAGCCTTGGACATGGGTGATAACACACTTGGGAGGAAAGTTAACTCCAAAGCACAGTTTATTTGGAGGAAAAAAATAAAAATAAAACTGCGGACCGGTCACTGCGGCCTGACTTACACAGTACACACTTGCTGCAACCTTCCTCACAAGCCATGCAGTCGTCAGATTCTGGGTCCTTCACCTCCCCTGAGACCAAAAAATGTGTTCGGAGATGGAGGGAAATGCATAGCAAGAGACACAAGGTGAGAAGGAGAGAATGGAAGGAGGGCAGGTGTGAGACAGTGCTTTTCCAAGGTCACCTGAGACATGGAGTGTCTACATGTTACAAAAAAAAAAAAAAAAACACATACAAGGAAAATGACTTAGGTAACACAGTGACCTTGTTTACCTTCTCCACACTCCAGCTTCACACATGCACCATCAGAGCTGTAGTAGGAGGAGTTACACCTGTGGCAGCGGTTGGGGCCGGTGCAGAGCCGGCAGTTCTCTGGGCACGACTCACATCTCCCGTCCTTGCTGTGGTAGAAAGCCTCAGGACACATGTCCAGACACTGACCTTTATAAAGGTAACGCTCCATTCCAAACTTATCTGGAAATAGTTCAACAAATGGTGGTGTGAGGAGAAGAGTACAGTCGACAGGTGGAACCTCAACTGACTGTTACCTGAAGCTGTTGTCATTTTTAATGGACAGAGAACATAACAGGGCAGTCAGAACCAATAGAAAATGCCATCATATATGTTGTGGAATACATGTTAAATATATAAATTGACAAGATTTATTTTTATAATTAAACAAGTAGCTTGTAGATAACCCCTGCTTAATGACAGCAATCATGAGTAGGAGATTCTCACTGCTAAAGATAAGTAATAAAATAATATAAAATAAAATAAATAGTTCCAGTTTGACATTTTAAAATTTCTGGGTTGTAGTTGTAGTAAGTTTCGAAAGACCAGTCTTAAAAGACATTAATAAAAAGGTAGAAAATCTGAGAAAAAAAAAGCATAGTTTTGTATATATTTGTATAATAATATTCTTTTGTATATTCACTGACCCAGACCAGCAGAAACAGACCAATAGCACCAGCAGATGGACATAACCCTGAGCTAGTTGTTTGTCATTGAACACTACCCCAGAGGCTGCTGAACTGGCTTACCATAGCGCTTTCACAAACAAGTTGACCAAACAGGAACTAAACTGGATATGAACAAATTAAATAAATACATTTTAAAAATTTCCAACTAAATTCACCCAGCTGTGTCTATATTCTGTTTATTTTTTGGCAAAACTATTTATTCCTGTTTTCTTCACCTGTGTCGCAGCTGGTGCAGCTGGCTCTTCCTGCATCCACACAGGTGGCACAAGTGTGGTCACACAAGTGACAGCGCCCTCCAGACGGAAATTTGCCACTACCACATTCAACCACGCAGAGGCCCTCATTCATGACCCTAAAAGGAACAACAAAAATTATCAGCTTAAATTTAAACTAATCAGTTCATCATGAATAGAGGCTGAATCTCAACATAGAAGTTTCTAATAGAACTTTTCAATGATAACAACTATCTTGGAATCTTTAAACTTACTCTCACGTCAGAGAAACTTGGATTTTATTTTTAATGTTTTTTTTTTAAACAAATATTTTTTAAATAAAATGTTTAAAAACATTTAGCGGCTAGTAATAGCCGCTACCTATTACTAGCAGTACTGCAACCATAACTGATTATTGTGTGCTGTGCTATTTTTCTACACTACCAAGTTCAACTCACCGTGAAGAAACACAGCTGATGCAGTCTGTGCTCTGTGGTCCTGTACACTTGGCGCATGTTGTATGACATGCCTGGCATTGTCCATTACTATCATGGTACTCCCCTGGGTCACATACAGTAGCAGAATGAATGTCATAAATTAAGAACTTTTATATCTATATATATTAAACATATATAGTTAGATATTTATACATACATATCCATATTAATAAAAAAAGTATATGTAAATATACAGTATGTACTAATGAGTGAGCAACCACACAGAATTTGCAGGTGTTATAAAGTTTATAGATAAACTTCTTTTTCTTTCGGTTTGTCCCTTTTTCAGGGGTTGCAACAGCGAATCATTGATTTCCATCTCACCCTGTTCTCTGTATCTCCTACTCTGACTCCAACTATCTGCATGTCCTCCCTCACTGCATCCATATATCTCCTCTTTGTCTCCTACCTGGTAGCTCCATCTCTTCTTCATTCTTCTACCAATGTCTCCACTGTCCCTCCTCTGCACATGTCCAAACCATCTCAATCTGGCTTCTCTAGCTTTTTCTCCAAACCTTCCTGTCTGTGTTGTTCCTCTTCCTCTTGTTGGTCATTCAAAATTAGTCAGTTTTTGAAAATTTTTGGTTAAAATCTTTGAAAAAAAAATTCTTGAAAAATTTTTTTTTGAAATTTTTTTTTTTATTTTTTTTGAAAAATTTTTTTTTGAAAAATTCTTTCTTAAATTTTTTTTTGAAAAATTGGTTTTGAAAAAAAATATTTTGATAAAATTTAAAATATTCAACTTTCTTCAGGAGTTGCTACAGCAAATGATTGATCTCCATCTCTCCCTGTTCTCTGCATCTCCTACTCTGACTCCAACTATCTGCATGTCCTCCCTCACTGCATCCATATATCTCCTCTTTGGTCTTCCTCTCTTTCTCCTACCTGGTAGCTCCATCTCTAACATTCTTCTACCAATGTCTCCACTGTCCCTCCTCTGCACATGTCCAAACCATCTCAATCTGGCTTCTCTAGCTTTTTCTCCAAACCTTCCTGTCTGTGTTGTTCCTCTTCCTCTTGTTGGTCATTCAAAATTTGTCAGTTTTTGAAAAAATTTGGTTAAAATCTTTGAAAAAAAATTTCTTGAAAATTTTTTTTTTGAAAATTTTTTTTTGAAATTTTTTTTTTTTGATTTTTTTTTGAAAAAATTTTTTTTGAAAAATTCTTTCTTAAATTTTTTGCACTCTGCACATGTCCAAACCATCTCAATCTGGCTTCTCTAGCTTTTTCTCCAAACCTTCCTGTCTGTGTCCCTCTAATGACCTCGTTCCTGATCCTGTCCATATAAAGTTTACTGTATAGATAAACAAATATAAATAATACATTTAATATATACAATGGAATTCATGCATTTTACCAAGTGAAGGAAACAATGGGATTTTACTGTTGCAGAGGTTTCAATGGCTGCATGTTACTGAAGGACAAAGAGAAGTATTTTACTGACCCTCTGCACACAAAGTGTTAACAACACATTCTCCCTCCTGCAGGCTGTGACCGCTGGAACAACTGCTGCAGTTCCTGGAGCCCGGCCCCACACAGGTAAGACAGCTGGTGTCACACCTGAAGAAAACAGACAATATAATATAATATAATATAATATAATCCCTAAAAATGACTTGTGTTAAGACTCTCAACTTTCCAAATGTATATATGTATATATATGTCATCTTTTAGATTTTGTATCAGAATATGTATTTTTTTTCATCCATTTGTTGTTATCAGTGCCATAATTTGTCATATGGTGTGACGTGAAAGCTATTTTCGTTTTTAGCTCACTTACTCATGCATTTTAATCATGTCTGCTTTGATATTTAACCCTGCCTTATGAAAATGTTTGGATTAATTTTCCAAATCCTCATGCAAATGAGGACATTGCTCCTTGATTTTTCGAGACATTTTAGATTAATTTGTTAAACCTTGTAATAACTCTAATAAAATCCTTGGCGCTATTGCTGATATTATTCTCCTCACGTCCTGTGACTATTGAAAACACCTAATTATTTTGTATTAATTGAAGAAAAATACAATTCATTTTTTTCTTTTTTAAATATGCTGTTATTATTAAGGTCACTGATATGTCAGACAATCACACCACAGGACATTTAAAGTTAAATTTTAAATTACTTTGGTACCACTGTAATATATCTTGGTCAGAGGAACAACATTTACACATATATTCTTTAAAAATATACATTTTTTAATTTTGTGACACATGGACAGTCAGCATTGTGTTATTTATATATACATACATATATATGTATATATACACTAAACACAACACAATATATAGATGCTAAATACTGAAGTTTAAAAAAAAAAAATCACATACACACAAGAGCCAACCTCCAGATATTGGGCCTGTCATCAGCAGATAAACAAACCACCCACCACTGAACACACACCAGTGAACTCACCTCCTACATATCCTGTGCTCAGCAGCTATCTCTGGGTTTGGCTCTGCGGCGTAGAAATTGGGACTGCAGGAGGCCACACACCTCCACTTCTCCAGCACGTAGCCTTCTGCACATTGTCTGCAATCCTCAGCACCTGCGCCTGATACGTCGAATGTGCCAAAATAAAAATTGTTTTAAACGCACCCAAAGGACACGAACAAAAAAAGATGGATCCTGGCTCCCGAGCTCTCACCTGCACAGGTAGCACAGGCCTGGTGACAGGGTCTGCACTCGTCTTCCTGTTTGTCATGGTAATATCCAGCTGAGCAGCTCCGCTGGCACCTGTTCCCCTGCAGGCTGGAGCGGGAGGGCAGAGGGTGAGGCATTGTGGCACATTCACACGCACACAAATCATGTAAGGACCATACTGATGACTCATTGCCTTTTGAGTGCAAGCTCAGTTTTCCAGCCCAGAGCACACCACCATCAGCTCTTGTTGGACTGAGTCAGTGAACACTGTAATCAGGAAACCAACTTAACAATGTGGTGAATCTGTGCTGTTTTGCTTTTCCCTTTGATGATACTGCAAAAATGGAAATCAGGACACATTTTTCTTTTATGAGCTGTGTGTAAGGGGGAAGGATGACACGCAGCTCTGAATGCAACTTTTATAAAAGGAGCCACCTAATCTCTTTAAATTTTTAATTTGATGCTGCAGAGGGAGTGTGCGAAGAGAGAGCTGGTGTGATATGTAGCTGTTAGAGGAGCAGAGGCTTTCACTGAACACTTCATTCAAGTTTTCCACAGAGAATTATCTTCACCTTGTGCCTGGGCTGCATTCGGTGCAGATGCTGTGGGAAACACAATTCAAGCAGTTTTCACTGCACTTTCTGCACACGTCTGTCTCTGTGGGGTAAAGAACACACGTGAATGGACATTACATCTCTCCTCCCTTTTTTTTAAAAAACATGAAAAATGCCATAATCGAAATTGATAACTTACATCCTGCAACATGACTCAACTCGTGATGTACATTTATGTAGAAAACCCTTAAAAGTCAGGGATTGACATACATTAAAATCATTATAGTTTTGGGGTTTAGTTTAGAATTTATGACGGCATATCACGGCAAAACTGTGGAGGGGTTAAAAATGAAAAAAAAAAAAAGAAAACTATGGAGGGGTTAAAAATGAAAAAAAAAAACAAAACCGTATTTTCGAAGATGACAATGCATGAGCAAAATGTGTTATGTTATTAAAACAGTGTTTTGTCAAGATGTTCCAAAAATTCTTTATATCAGGAACAAAACTGGCAGAGTTACAAATTTCCTTCCTGTCTTGGAAGAAATCCAGTGGGAAATTAGAATTTCAACTGAGTGACTGGCAGCGCCCACCTATGTTGTTTATTGGTGTCATTTTAGGCAGTCCAGTATCAGCGTTCAATGGTCACGAGGATAGTGCTCTCCTGTGGCTATAGGTGGTATGACGTATTTTATTGAGATATAAGTCTCTTCTGAATAAAGGTCGCAGGACGAGCCAAACTCTCACGAAAAAAGGCATCACCCACAGTTTGGAAAATATGGTACTGAGAAGATAATTTACAGTTACTACTGTATCTTTGAACTGAAAAGATAATTTACAGTTACTACTGTATATTTGAACTGAGAACCAACCATGGTCCAGGTAGTAGTTATCCTCGCAGAAGGCTGTGCAGACATTGGTTCCCTCAGTCAGGTGATAACCAGGTTGACAGGAAGTACACTGGTCACCACGGCTGCCGGTGCAGACCTCACAGGAAGAGGGACATCTTTTACAACGCCAGCGGTCTCCCCAGAATCCCTTGGGACACTCCGATACACACAACCTTAATTTTACAGGGAGAATAAGCAGAGAAATTTGCACATTCAGCATGAATAATGTAACTCTATGCCTTTTTTTAAACAAAAATCTTTTATACAGTGAGCTGCTGCCTCTGTTGCGATGCAGCTGTGAACGTGACCAACCTTGTGCCGTTCTTGTACTGGAGAAAAAAATGTGAGCACGTGAGACAATGCTGCGGGCTGGGCCCCAAACAACCATCCTCACTGCATTCTGGGTCACAGGGTCCTGTCAGGGGCAATAGTCACAGTCAAGTCACTGCATCACCATGGTAACACTGCACAGACACATCTGTTGTTGGCTGAACATAGGCATAAAAAATGTCTACACGACACATGCAATTGTAACACTGTACACTGACTGTAGACATTCACATTTGTGGAAATGTAAAACACTTTGATAATATATTTTTAATACAATACTGACTATATATATATATAAAACTAACTAACTATATATATATATATAAATTATTTTAATTTACCAGATTTGATTTGTGAACTGAACTGCATTAAGTAGGCAGTGCAATGAATCTGAAATAAATAATTAAAAAGCAACTGGTTTTGGAAAAACAAGAAGTCTTTCGCCAAATGTCTATTGAATTCACTCACAAAACCAACCCCCCTTCAACAGCAAAACCATGAATGATTGGAAGGTGGAAGGTTTTGCGTTTTCCTTTTTACAAAATCTATCTATCTATATATTTATATCTCTGTGTCCATATTTGTCTTGGAATTGAAGGATTCCCTCTGCCTGCAGTTCTGAAGTAGAGGAATTACTTTGGGGTTATGGTTGTTCGGTGTTAACTCAGACGTCTCCTCTGTAAAACCATGTTATCAAGGCCATAAAGCTACGATGGCATCATTTCTGACTCCATTAGATGGCGCCGCAGCGGTAGTTAGCGTAATGTTTTGGCACAACTTTTACACTACAGGGAAGATAAAATTGAACTTTCTGCTTGGGAAGGTGTG